AAAAAAAAAAAAAAAAAAAAGGAGCAGGAGCGTAATGCATGTTCTACTCACCGGGGGAAGTGGTCATGTTCGTCCTTTCATTAGTTTACATGAAAAATATTAGAAAATGATTCAGATACCATTTGGTTCCATACACATGTTGACATTTAAGGTGATTTTATTTATTAAAATATAAAATAAATATGACTAGTCTAACTAACTCTTATATTTTATATATTACATTTTTAAGTTTTTACACATTTAATTTTAAACAAAAAACAATAATTTTTTTTTGAGTATATTGTAAAATATGCTAAATCCAAAAGCATTTGTATCAGTATCCAATATATTTTGTTGGTGGTTTCAAATTTGAATTTAAGATGGTCAAGAAAGAGTTTAGAATTGTTAATTATCTCTTCCTATTGGGAAGCAAATCATGTGACGCAATAAAAAACATAAAAAATATTTAAAATATATGTTATTAATTAATTTGCTGACATGCACATAAATGTCCAAAGCTTTGTACATATATATATATATTTTTTTTCAACGGCAAATTTAGTAATGGTGGAATATAAGGATACTCAACCCTTACATCATCTAATTGTCGTCACAAGACACAATATGTACTAAGTTTTGCGTATTTAAAGTTAATTAGCTGCTTTGTGAAAGAATTATGTGAAATGTTTAATGTAGAAAATTAAATCAATTGAGATTTTAATTGACTTTGTTGAAGTACAAGGCTTAATTTAATGAAAAATTATTTGTATACCATCGATTTAACACATTTTTTGACATTTCGATTCAACCGTTAAAAATATAATATAAATATAATCAATTCAATTAATTTTTACATCCTGTGTGTATGATTGTATTTTTAAATTTATCTGTTTTTAATTTTATACTAAAAAATAGTAATTTTTAATGAGTGTGTTGTGTAATGTATTAAACAGGAGTGTGTTGAATCGGAGTGTTTATCAATTACTGTCCTAATTTAATAAATCATCCATTAACTTTTGATTACTTCATTTTAATTTAGATTTTTTTTTTTTCAAAATCATCTATTAACTTTCAAAATTATGTCAATTTCATCTATAGAACACAATTGTGTTACTAATTAAGATTGACGGAAGTCCACGTCATTGATTACATAGTGATGCGTAACCAACACATGGTAAGAATAATCTCATGTTTGTTATTTTAATAAGGTTTTGTTTTAATTAGATTATATTATAATTTAGTTATTTATTGCTAATTAGGTTAGGGAAACAAAAAGGCAGGAATACCAATAAGAATTGGTGGATTTAGTACTTATTAATTTAAAAATCTTGATTTAAGATCAAAGTTAAAGGTTAAAATTTTTTTTATACTAAACAGTTAACCCTCTAATGAACTAAAAAAAAAAAATACAGGCAAGAATTTTCCCTCTATCTTCAAGCAATGTGTTGCTTATGTAGCAGCTTATGCAGTGCCATATAAGTAATGATATGGATTTTTATCAATCTAATTTACAAAATTATGTTAGGAAGACAAAATTAATATAATTTTATAAATTAATAAATGACCATGAAAGAAAGTAAAAATTTTAAATTAAAATAAAAAATATCAACAGTTAATAGATGGTTTATCAAATTAACCTGCAGTGCAAAGGGTACGTCCTTTTCATACTTTGGAAAAGATTTGCTTCATTCTTACCATTTGGGAACTGATGATCCCTTTCGGACGAGTATTTGATAGCAAAAACTTATGCTTCTATATTAAAATTGGAATATTAATTTACTACGTACTTTGCAATGAGAGGAAGTTTGGTATTGGAACTTTAGTATAATTGCCTTTTTACCTTAAAAAGAAAAGAATCAGGTACTTAGGGTCCATTTGGTTCGCAACTGAAAATGACTTCAAAGTGTTCCACCTCCAGCACCTTATCCACCAAAGAAAAAAGGCATGTGGGCGTTGCATCGTGGGGTGGGGGCCGGGGTTTGGGTATCTATTTCTATGGTTCGTCAAATCAACGACCATCCATCTCTCCCCCTCTCTCTCTCTCCATACACAAATAATATTTTTAAAACCAAACAAGAGATAAAACTGTTTTGACCACAGTTCTCAATTTGGTCAGTGTAACTGGTTTAACTAGTAAAACTGCTGGTTTGCCAGTTTGATATAAATATATTTTTAGGCAAATTGTTTCATGAAGGTGGCTTTGGTAGTAGGGCACGTGTCTTGACTTTTGAGGCTGTTGTTTCGAATTCATTGAACCACGTCTTTACGTTGGCAAAAGGTGCAAAAAAGCCCCTATACCGGCAATATGGTAGCATATAAGCCCGCGAACCCAGAACGGAGGCAAAACACCACTTATACTCAAAAATCAGTGGCAAATCAGCCCCTAGAGTAACTAGAGCAGTTAAGTTGCGTTATAAAGTTAAAAAATTGCAGGATTAGTTCTCAAGAAAACATAAGACAACAATTAAACCCCCAAGAAAGTCTTCATGGGAGATATTGACACAAATGCAAGAACAATACTAAATATTTGTCATCAAATTGAGCAAGTAGCTCAATTTGAAGAAAGAGTCCTAGAAAAAATGAAAGAAAATCGACTAGTTGAGTTAAGACGAGAAAATGGAAGAACAAACTCTATAGTAGCACTGTATAATAGACAAATTGGATTTAGAGAACAAAGAATTAATAAATTAAGAGAAATAGTATTTATTGAAATCAATATGAATAATGAACAAATAAATTGGATTAACATGTATTTACTCAATACAATGGATAAAAACATAATCTATAGTAAAGATATAATTATCGTTGATAAAATTCTAGAAATAGAAACTATCACCAAAATACTTTAAGAAGAATTAAAGAGATGGGAAAATCCCTCTCACAAAAGTTTGAGTCT